TAATAATAATAATAATAAAAGTCTTTATTCCATCATAAGATAAAACTACATATCTTATGTTACAATGAATTTGGAAAAACTACAGAAATCTACATACATATTATGAATTAAAAAGTATGTCATTACAATAAATGGAGCTTAAATATCAACCTATTTACAAAGGTGTTCATAAAGCGCTGTGTATTAATTTTCGGGCGCGCGCAGCCTTTTTTCCTAAGATTGTGTACATATGTCTTTTGGACAGGAATGATGTCTTTCAGGGGGTGGCAATCCGTTGATTTTAGTTTCTTCAAAATGTTTCGGTCTTGTTTGTTTAAAAGGTTCTTGATAAAAACTGGAAATGAGATAAAACCGCGTTTATGACATCGGTCTAAAAAATTTTGTACAACCGTAAGATCGGACTCAGATGCCCCATAGACTGAAAGTGCATAGCTAAAATTAGCCAAAACAATGGATATAAAAAGATGATCAATCTCTGCCTGAGAGTAATGTTCCTTTCTCAATGTTCGTAGGACGTGTAAACACTTGTTTGCTTTGACAAGCTTAGTTCTTACATGCTCATCAAATTTTCCGTCACTCAGCTGTAAAGTTACTCCTAGTAAAACGAAGCTATTACATTTGTGCTTAAATAACTTCAACTTGACTTTAGTGAGAATTCACTGTGGGTTTTTATACTTCAGTCACTGCTGGCACTTGTGGAGAAATATGCTTGAAAATAATAAAATTTCAAATTCTTCCATCAACAAGTTTATATAAGATGATAAGAATGACTGCCTTGTGAGATTCCAAAGACCAAGCCAGACATTTCAACATGATTGGCTGTTGGTAAAACAACATGTCGTACTTCCAGTGACCTGAAGGGTGTGCGGCCAGGTTGCTGAGGTTTTCCGAGATTGGTGTGTCTAGAGTCGGTGCCCATGGCGATGTAGACTCCTTGTAACCGTGCCCGTGAGTCCGCTCTTGAACATTCCCATCCTTCATATGCAAACTTCATTAGAATTACTCGTTTAGGAAAATGACTCAAAGCGAGTTTCATAGTTTTTTTTTTCTGTAACCCAAAACTCACTCGTTGCATCCATCACTCAATCAGTCCACCAATGTTTGTCTTAAGTATGTTCAGTTCGAATTCCTGCGTGGGGCTCAACTGAAAACAAAAGCTCCGCGATATATCGCTGACAGATCGTTCCAACTGAAATATCGCCGATATATTAGTGCAAAAACAAAGAGCACTATAGATTCGTGTACCCATTGCTTGCCTATTTTTATCAAAGCTGAAGAAAACTTCCAGCGCCTTGGTTATTACTTTAGTTTTCAAACGGGCTCAGCTTTCTTAAATGGAGAGATAATAGGTCCATGGATTAATTACCATACAGGCCTGTGTGCTAACAGGGTTACATCGAGTAATGTGTACCATTTTTACAACAAGGACCCTTGATTTTTGTTATAGTAAATAAACAAATATATCACAGCAATGAGGTAGAGCTGCATGTCAAGAACTCAAACGAAATAAATTCACTAATCATAATTAGTTTTTTCATGATTGATGTTTCTTTATTCAGAAGCTTTTTCATGGTCTTAAGTGTTCATTTCATCAGAGTTGATTACTTAAAAAGCTTTTTCTGTTAGGTAGTTTCCTCCTGGGTCATCCCTCCATTTTCACTCCCGCACAATCCAACTTTCTGGCCGCTTCACAGATACTCCTGGCTTTCACCTCAAACTAGATAAAAAGAAAAGGAAAGGAATTGTAATGATTTGCTAGAATTTTGGATGCAGATAAATTCTGAGGATCTGCGATGCAAGACGATCTCGAGTTTCTTTGGGAGGGAAGATACAAACCTCTGTGGAAGAAAGCTGTCTTCTACCCGTATGGTAACCTCCATTGAAAGCCTCCACAGAATGTTGAACAACGCCAATAAACAACAGCAAGACAGACATTACCAAACACACTTGAATCTTCATGTTTTGCTTCTGTTGGTTTTAACAGGACTGTTACCAAGCTACTAACTGCTTAAAGCCGCTGCACTGTTTTGCTATGAGCGCATGTACATATATTTATATAGATTCGTGTCAGTAATCAATCTCCGTCCAATATCAAATTAATCAATTCACGTTAAATAATCATAATTGCCAAGAAGGATTCCAAGCAATTATCTACTTGAAAACAACTTTCAGCGGTTTAAAGATTTGTGTGAGATTAGTCACTGGAAACTAAAACTTTGAAGTACCATTATATACTAGACGTTTTTCTTTTTCGTATTCCTTTTGACGCTGTTACTTAAAATACAGAGGTAGTGGAATTTTATGGTCATCATCTTCAACTGGACTTTACTCCGCTCTTTTTAGTCTCATTAGAAAAAGCACACAGTCTCCCGTTCCCTCTCCCTCCCTGTCTGCCTTCAAACATCCTTTAACTGATGGTAAAGGCCACCTGAAGATTGTGGCTAACTCCGAAAACTCTTAATAAACCTCACGAAGTTATATTCTTAATCGTCTTTTTAGCACTTAACTAAACCATTATATTAGTGCAGTCCTTTTGAAAAAACACTTCATCATCTGGTTCTAAGAGTGGTGATCCTTGCTTCCATCATTTGTTCAAAATTTTTCTCCCCGTAACCATATCGTCAATTGTCTTCTAGGGGGAGACAACGAGTAAAAGCAAAAATTGGATCTTAATAGTATTGCAAGTGCTCCTTCTATCCGACCCGAGAGGTAACTTGTAACTGTCAAGATGTGAATAAATTCTCAACCAAGAGCTCGTTACAAATGGATCCTATAGAAAAAACGCACTACATATCAAAACGAAATCCTACGAAATTCGCTTTGTTGACTGAATGGGCGTTCTAATTAGCGTAGTGAATAAATGAGACTTCAACCTGTTGTGTGATTAAGTTATCCAACTAATTGACAGCCACTGGTGCTGTAAGGTCTCATCTGGTAAGGACATTTTCAAATGTCTCGAAAATCGGCTTTGTTAGGAGATTGGACTCCATGCAACTGTTTATGTTTAAAGAAATACCTTTAATAATCATGTCTGATCGCATAATTAAGTTGGTTACCAATCGCAACCTTTCATTCATTATTCTTGTAATTGGATATCTTAAAATGGACGATTAAGAAATATTGTCTGGTGGAAGAGGGAAATTTCAAAAAGAACTTTGCATTTAAATTGACTTCTCAAACCTTTCCAACCATTCCTTCCATTTGATGGCGAAATACCGCATCTTGAACAAAGGCTGCGAGTTGTGGCAGAGCAGCGATGGACGGAAATATCTGGATCATCAATTTTTTATTCGCTTTTACACAACCTCATGTTTCAGCTTCTGTGGACAGCGTGAAATTTAACCCTATACAAAGAAAATAATTCCCCTTCCTGAAAAAACTTGATCGACAATTATCCCCTCGAAATTAACTTTGATAACCATTACTTTTTTCAAAATTTAATGTATACTCGAAAGGGTAAATGTCCGGTCATCTCACCAGCTCATTCATGGTTCTGTATTAATATTATTCAAAGGAGGTGATCTTTTCTTGTTTTCTTTTTAGGTATTTTGGATCGAATGATTTAGGGTGAGGTAAACATAGACATATGATTAGTCACTGAGTAAAACTCACAAGAATACAGAGTTCATAGAGTACATTACAAGTCTGATACCCAATGCACGTAATGAAGGAAAACTGAATTAGAACATCTGGTCTTTAATGCATTTATCATAACACTTTGTTAGGCTTTGGAACAAAATTGTGAAAAGGGGAAAAAGAAAAGTTAGGCACGACTAAAGAAATAAAACGAAACCAAGAAATAGAAGGCGGGTGAAACCAGAGCGTTCTCAGTGTTCCAAAACCCTAAGATAAACATCGGAAAATAAACCTGACATGGAAAGTGACATTTCATACGTCATATTTCGTCTTCTTCAAGTCTTTTCATATAGTTAGGCTCTCAGCCATCTGCTCGTAATTTCAGGTCTTCTCATTTTGCTAATGGTGCTGATGCTGAGCTTAAGCCACATACCCTCTCAACAAAAAGTTGCCTTCGAAAAAACGCTCAAAGGTAAGAGTCATAATCGAAAAGCGGAATTTACGAGCTTTGGTTGCTTCAGAAGGATCTGACTGTCCACTCAATCGATAAATGAAATAGTTTGTCCTCCACGTTCTGAAAAAAATTAACAGTTGTAGATTATTGCATCATTGGAGAAGATTTTTGATTGTTTGTGTAGAGAAGAATTGAAAAGCAGAAGGTTCTCAGCAACTCTTTGTATACGTAGGGTAAAGGAGCTTTCGAGAAGTCAAAATTTCAATTCCAGAGCCTTATATTGAAGGTGCAATTGGGGTCGGACCAGATTTATCCAGACCATTTTCTTTAATCATATTAGTGATCCATGGAAAGTTTGTTAGTCATGAATCACAAATTATCGTTCCCGAATCTTTCAGCTTTCTTCTTTCAACCTGAGTCTTGCATTCTCCGGAAATTTCAGGTAGCAATTAAGTTTGGTTGGGATCATCTAATATGTGGCACTAATCCATAAGGCTGCGACTACAAAAACAAAAACAACAACAATGAATTCATCAATCGTCCAATAGGCTTTTTTTATTTAGAAGGGTTTTTGTAATTTCTTGATTTTCCTTTGGTGGTGGATGGTTGTTTAACATAATTTTTTATCATGGATATTTTATTATGGGTCGTTTCTCTTCATTCCTGCGCAATTCAACATTCTGGCAGCCTCGCAAAAGTTCTGGGTGTCATCTCAGCCAAAACAAAGAAAACGGAATCTTAACAAAGAAATAGTCCAAAAGTTTAGGAAATTTTGCTGACATGAATGGCAAATGACGATTTTAATAATAATGATAATAATAATAATAATAATAATAATAGTTAATCTTTATTGAGGATGCCAACATCACAAAAAAGTGGTTTACAGAGGGGTCCTCTAAAGGTAACTACATAAAATATAATTACTGAAAAATAAAAATAAAAAATACATATCGAAAAATATGTAGATAAAACTACATTACTAACGAAACTACTTAAAATAGTGCTTTCTTTATACCACGCTTAAATTGGCTTAAGGTGGGCACATCTCTTAGGGAAAAGGTAAGGCATTCCAAGCTTCCGCTGCAAAATTTATTGTTATCAGAGTGCCCCCATCTTCTGTGTGCGAATGATATGCGGATATTTCGCTTGGATCGTGTATTATAGTTATGATAGTTGCTGTTAAAAGAGCAGTGAAGAGTGTGCATAAAAAGGTTACTAACTACCTTAAACATAAAAATAGCACGATTCTCCGCTCTCCGCCTTTCTAGAGGTTTCCAATGGAACTTTTAAAGTGCATCGCTCGCGGAAGCAGTAGGGGGAAGATCTAAAATGATTCGCGCAACCTTGTTGTGAAGGATCTGTAGCTCCGCCATAAGTGTAGTGAGTGCCCCGGTCTCCCCATATAAAATCTCCGTAGTCAAAAAGGGGCAGAACAAAAGAAATAAAGAAAGTTATCCTAGCGCTTAGTGGGAGACACGGCTTGATGCGGCGCAAAAGGCCTAGCTTCTTGTTTATCTTATTACGCATGTGCTCAATATGATCCTCACAAGTAAGATTCTGATTGATAATTAATCCTAAATAGGGAAAGCATTCTGCTTCCTTAAGTTGCTTTCCATCGGCTGAAATAACAATGGAATCGATTCTACGTAGTCTCGAGTTACTACCTATTAGCATAAATTGGGACTTCTTGATGTTAAGAGTAAGTTGATTAAGTTTCAACCAGTCACATACTTGTCTGAGGTCCGAGTTCATCTTAGTTTCGATTTCTGAAATAAGTTTGGAGGAAAAATATAAAACGGTGTCATCAGCGTACAAAGTAATG